GAATGAACATAGAGCAGTTGACCTTCCCGCTACGACAGGCACGTGTGTGACGCCCTACCGGCTTAACTCCTCCAGGTAGCGAGCCGTGCTTGAGAAGTGTCATTGGCCGACACGGCTCCAGGCGCACCGAAGAAAATGAGAGCAGCAGGCGCTCGCTTTGTTCTAACTTGGAATTCAAAAGCTTCAGATTGGTGGAAGCCCTGCATTAATCCAGAAAACGTTTTTTATGAGCCCGCTCACTCACTACCGGTCCTAGACGCCGCTGTGTTGAACTTGCGGCTCTCCTTCGTGGTGGCAGATGTGTTATGTAGTGTGGTATCGAGAAGGAGTAGATAATGCTCGCTTTGCGGTAGTAGCATTTAGTGAACACGGACGATAAGAACGCTTGAGAGATTCTTTCTCGCTTGTTGCAGCCCCGAAAAACTCCGCATTTGATGACACGCGGTCGCCGCTGGTTTTTTTATGTATTTTCTCACACAGTTTCGCTCTTGTCAGATAATAAGAGACACGTGTCTGTGTACTTTTCGAGGATCCGGGGAACGCTAGTCGACATGTCCTCGTATTGTGTCAAGGACGATTGATGAATCTCCATCCTAAGATTCTCTCCGTTTCATGGGGATGACCAACGAGAACGAGTAGCGCCGTCATGTTCCGTGAGAACGTCCCGCTACCCCCAATGGCGTGGACTCATCCGCCGACTACTCATTCGAGTCATCGGTGAAGTGAATGCTGAAGATGGCCTGCATGAATATCCCCGATGGCAGGAATCGGGATCTCATACCTCGTGGATTACATTCAATTTAGGTAGATGAAATTATTGCTCGGTATCGGATGCGGCAGTTTCAGCAACAGTCAGCTCTTCGAGCTCAGTCAGCCCAACACCCTCGTTCTGTCACCTAGCGGACACCAAGGATTTGTGGTGCCAGACGCTGAGCGGAATCCACTTCCTCGACTGTTGTGCTCGAAATGTTGGAGAGGCGCATCAACATTTCAGCGATGTGATCGCGGAATTTTCGTGCGGCCCTTGCGTACAGAGACCGAGCTCACGTTCCTCGGAGACCTTCAGAGCCGCCAGGGATTACCACGGGAATCGGATGGCAGATACTTCCGTGAATTCCCTTCCGAATAGTGCGTTCTTCAGTTGATCCGTTCTGAACGACACAAAATATCGGGTCACGTGTCACGTGGCGCCTCTTCCGTTGAATAAAGGAAGTTGACTACACTCATTCTACCCCCTGAGTGAATTTGAAGATGTTTTCATGTACGGAAGAATCCTCCGAGCATCTGCTTCTTCGGGAATACATATCCCCCCACAGAGCCAAAATGTTGGACAATAATCGACTTCTCCACTTCAATACTTGGCTTTCTGCGGTACCTCATTGATTTGAAATCAGATAATCTGGTCGGGGACGGAAATCCGGAGAGATCGGACCTACCCAACTTGCGTCGCATTCGCCCACGTCGATCTTCTGGGTGATAAGAAGCCTCCTACGTGCTTCGTCTTAATTGGTGCTCATGAAAAGCTTCGTGGATGAGAGCCATCTCGCGATTAATCTAGAGAGAATTTGCCTCAAAATGAGGAATCTACATCTTCACGTCTTGTTGATGGTCATGACGATTTCTTCGATAGCGCCCGATGAGACGATCTAGTCGCCATCTGTTTCATAGGCAAAGCGATGGAGTCGTTTTTCAAGGAGCTGGACCCAATCTCAGCCGGGAGCACCCGTGTGGATTATTGGCCGTTTGTTGGAAGCTTTCGATATCGCAGCAAAGGGCATCCCGGCAATCGAATTTTGACCGCCCGTTGCGGCTCACTTGATTCTCCAACTCCCGATGACCTACCTACTACAAATCTGAGACGAAGGAAATGAGACGGGGAGCGCCTCGTTTCGCTTCGAGTCGATATCTCAATTCGAGATGTTGGTCGGCGGAACAAGGTCTCGCAGTGAGCTCTCGCGGAAACGTATCTCGAGGTCCGAGATTGACTTTTTCATGCTCGTCTCCGAGAGTGTGTGGTGTATGGGACTGTCTGACTGAATACCTCCATTTATTCCGAAAAACACCGGTCGAACCGCTCAGCGGATCCCATCCCCTACTGGAAGATTCACCGGGTGAATCAGTCGGAGAGTTCTCAAGTTCCTCCACAACTTTTCGATCGGATACCATCTCAAAGATCTTGTCGATCCAAGAGAAAGTTCGGACCACTTATTTTGAGGCAAAACGTGGTCTTCCGGGACAGGATTTTTCGAGTTGACTGACTACAGCGCAACCAACTATCGGAGCACTCACTCACTAAGTCAGTCATCCTCCCAAAGAGCCGCCCCGCAAGCTATCGAGTCCGCCTGTTTGTCCGCTCGGCCTGCTCTTAGCGAAGCTCCGGGCCAGCTATACGGCCGAGTATAAGCTACGTAAAGCACGTTCCCTCTACCAGCCTCAGCGGCTATGGCCTCTGCCGGTGCTCCTCTTGGTGCCAAGCTGTCTGGTCTAGACCGTCCGAGTGGCTGACTGACTGGAGGACGGACCGACGGACGGAAGGCCTGCCTGCCCGGCCAGCCCGCCGGCTAGCCTGCCGAGCGGCCTAGGGCGAGAGAAACAAACGAGCAAGTTCGCTTTTACTAAGTCGAGTAGCTCTTCAGGAGTTCGGCGAGCCGGCGACCGGAACGAGAATGAACGGGCAATATTCTCGCCGCTGCTTCTGGACATCCACGCCAGGGTCGAGCGGGGAGCAAGCAGTCGGGGCTAGAGCAGTTGATGGAGTCGGCTGGTACCTGAAGGGAGCGTCCGGTAGCCCATCCAGGGCTGAGAGTGCTGGAAACACCGATCCGCAAGATCCTGGAATCGGACGGAGCCTTGCGTGAACTTGCGTGAGCTTTCGCGACAGCCGATTGATGCCGCGATCGCTCGCGATTCATTCTATTAGGATTCAGGAGAATGATTACGCAATTGGGACACCGGGGAGACGCGGAATTATTTGTTCTCACTCAACCATCCGTCCCCTCGACGGGCTTCCCCTCCTAAGGCAACATCGAATCCAAGAGCGTTCGAGGAACACTCCCGCTGTGAGCGCATGAACCAGTTGGAAGCTTCAAGGACTCGGACAGAGCTTTGCTCTCCCGCTAGCTTGGACTAAGACTAGCTTGACAGCATTCCGACGGCACTCGAGTTCCCGTGAAGATGATTTATGGCTCGACATTAGCGCAGCGGTCAGACCAACCATCAATGAGACGGCAAGTCATTTCGTTCTCCATCATCATCGGGAACGGGATGAGGAATTCGAATCACTGACTCCATCGCTGGCATAATTCGTCTCGCCCTGCGCTCGTGTCCTTATGCAGCTCAATCCGGCTGGTTATTCGGTAATTCCCTATCACCGCCGGGCAGTTCACCACTCATTCGACCGACCCGCCTCGATGACATTCCCACAGGTCGCACGCGGGTGCTTTTGATGAAGGTACGCAAGCCAGAGGAGCGGCGACTAGGGAGATTCCGGCTCTCACATAGTCGAAGAACGGGGGAGGAGGACACAAACGATTCTCGAACGAGGATATCTCGAGGAGGTGGACCCGAAGACGGCGAATCAAGGGCCCAAAGATCCCCGTGCATCCTACTCCCGACTCAGTCCCTCCTCAGGCATCCGCGTTCTCGATGGGAGTCTCGATAGAGTCCACACTTCAATCTCGGGATCTGATCCTTTGAGTGCTAAGGGTCCTCAGTCATATCGTGGCGTCCCTCACGGCGGTCCTAGGCATGCGAGGGACTCTAACGGCTAATCCACTAAATTCCAATCGCGCGATGAAGGACTCTTCGTCGAAGCTGGAACCTTGCCCACGAACGCTGACCGATGTGTCACTCAGACGGACTCGACCCGAATGGAGAGCAGAGAAGAAGAGAAAGAAACAGGTGGACTATTTTTCTCCGACTCTCCCTCAAGTGACACCATCTGCCCGTAATATCGGGAGAGGCTCCCCATCACGAGCCTTGGGATGGATGTCGCGGTCCGAGTTTTCGGGGCCGTCGACAAGTGCCAGCGGCGAGAGATCATTAATCATCTCCGTCCCTCGGTGGACACAGCTTGAGGAGGTCTGGGAGTTTTAGATATTTTCAGATCTTGATCGGCATCGGAAATGATAATCTCCGATGGCTCTCCCCTTCCCCTAGGTCGTCGGGATCCCAGAGAATTTCAAACCGTAGGCAATGCCTCGGAGGTTCGTCTCCGCTTCTTCTCTCGGTGTCTCCATTCACGGCGACTTGAGAATATCGTTTGTTGGAGCGATTCAGTCACAAGTTGCTCCTCGGGGACTCGGAGACCGTTCCGCGCAGAACGGCCACGTCGGACCGTCGCTCGCTCCGTAGCATTTGCTATATAGCAAGTCCATTCGCGAGTGGACAATGAAAGGTTCTTGACTCTCTCTGGACCTTGACTCGCAAGTTCATGGCCGTCCTACTAGCGTGGTCTCCAAGAGACGTGTCGAACGCTGCACTTGCTGCAGTGCTATTTTTCTGCGCGGACGATTCGAAATTGCCGCCCACACACCCGCCGCACGTGGTCCATGAAGTCCGGCTGCCCCGCTCAGGCTCAAGGGCCCACTCGGTGTCCCGCGAAGTCGCCAACCTCAGCCAGACAGAACCCCACGTTCAAAATTGGCGCCCTGCCGACCGATGTTGACGTCACCTCGGGCCGACCGCACAGCTGCACGTGCTCGCAATGTTTTTCTTTGAATCACTTAGCTGTCGAGACGAGTTCAGCGAATTCCACCCGGAAGGCTCGGATTCGCAGAAATAGGGTTGCGATCGAGCGTGCTCCGAGCCGCCAAACCCCATACAGGTAGCCGGGAGGGGCTCGAGGCGAGGTGGAGTTTTGAAAGAGCGCGCCCTTTCTCCCTTTGTTGTGGTGTCGCAGCTGCATCGAACGGGGCTTGTCCGGCTGCTGGTTGGTTGTTGGTGTGTTGTTGAGGAGCTCTCGTCGTCTAGCTGCTGCTGCAGCACCATCACAGCACACAGGCTGGCTGGCTAGCATGGCGGCTATGGAAGAACAGCGTTTTGAGTTCACTGTGGTGAGGAATCAGCCCCTGAAGCCGAGTCGGAAAACGTTGCCTGTCTACGATAAACTCAATCGAGCAGAGCGCTACTACCAGGTATGTAAGATTCGAGCCAGGGTTCGGTGGAAAAACGACTCAGAGCAGTGGAGGCCTTACCACTGACGACCGTGCGAGCGACCGACCGAGCGACCGACCGACCGAGCGACCGACCGACCAGCGAGCGAACGACCGACCACGATGCCTGTGCGTCAAAAGCGTTTTGCGTGCGTACCCCAAATCGTGGGCCTCATTCACTCGGGAATCGAGCCCCCGAGACCCTGAGGAACCCTTGTGCCAAACGTCACGGTCGTAGCGTTCCTCTACGTGGAGTCCGAGCTCGTGGTCTGACGGAGAGAGAGAATGTCATTTCGTCGGCCCAGTCGACGGGGGCCTTCCTGCCTGCCTTTCTGTTGGGTTTCCTGCTTGCCTGCGTTCCCGTATCGCTCGGCCTCGTCGATGAATAGCTTCTCCGGGGACGAGCGAGGCTTTCCCTCGACTTGAGCTGTGGGTGAATTCGGTGGATGGATACCGAATCGAATATTTTGTGGCCTCGTGGCGATTTCTCCATTTATTTGTGATTTTGGCAGCAGTCCCTACGACCAAGCAACGATGCTGGTGGCTCGTCGCTGGTCGCCAACAGACAACGCTGTCCATGATGTATACAATGGCTCTGTGGAGAGAACCGCTACGGACCAGCAACAAGAGAATACGAACCGACGAATGAAAAAATGAACGAACCAAGCGAGCATTCAGGCAACCAACGAAATTACCACGCTGCTCGCTCACTCGCTGGATTTGTGGTGGACGTGTTGTTGGGTATGATGATGATGATGTCGCTGCTTCTGCCGCACTCGTTACTGTCCACTGGGTACTTTTCGTAGATGTTGTGCACGAGCACTCACGATCTGTGATGTGGAGCCTGGGCCCAGAACCCAGGCAGTGCCGAACACAGCGAGACTTCGGAACGCCTCGAACAGTGCTACGAGTGCTACCGAGAGTACAGTAATTCGAGGGCAGGTGTGAAGATCATTATCTGTGAAGCATCTGAACGAGCGAGGAGTCTTTTCTGGAGTTCAATGCAGACCCATAGGGAGCAATTATTGCATTTCGAGAGCTTACGCATCCCCATCCGAGCTCTAACCCGTCGGACCTGGATCGAAATCCGAGTGCCCCTCCAAAGTTTTCAGTCCCCTCAGGATTCAGAATTAAATGCTCCCGTAGCCCTCAATCGTTCCTTGAGGTGGGCCCCGTAGCCGGAGGTACCGTCGCGCCGTGGCTGCAGCGTTTGAAGTTTCCGTAGCGGTCGGAGAAGCAGCTGCAATTCAAGGTCCTGCTTTCGCACAATGGGTAGAATTCAGCTATCACCGGTTCTATCCGAAATGATAGGTAAAGTTCTCGACGTGAGCACGCTCGATTTGGTTCGATCGAGTCAAATTCACACGGTTCCTTCTATCTGCTGGTTAGTTGCTTGGTTGCTATCGGTCGGTCGGTCTGCCGGACGACGGTCACTGGCTCGCTCGCTCGGTCGTTCGTTCACTTGGTGTGGTGTCCAATCATTGCGCTGAAGCGTGCTACGCGAAAAGCCCGTAGTCGATTGTGCCTACTCGAAATCATTTGTCTGCGGCATACGGTGACGTGCGCACACGTAGCGCATGTCGTATTTTATTGAAACCCTCTCACTTTGTGTCGCCAGTACGTGTTGGGTTAGACTAATCATAGCAGTCAAGATAAGTCTGGCTAGTGAGAACAAGCTGAGCTAGACAGAGAGGAGGCCTGTACGACGAGCAGGACGGCTGTTGGCCCGCCCGCCACCCGCCCGTCGCTTGCCGGTCTGTTTGCCGGCCGGCCTGCCTGCCTGCCTACCCACCTAATCCATTTCCGGGCAGGTGCAGATTAGGGCAGATGCTCGGGCGTTTTGACAGCTTCTGCTGTCGGCGTCGTACTCGCTTGCTGTGTTTTACGTTCTCGTCTCCGGTTCTAATATTCATCGTGTTCACTCGACGCATTATACGTACGCACTCACGAACGGACGTACATCGTGGTGAACTCACGACTGCCAGAGACATAGCTCACCGTAAAATGCCCGTGGGGGAAGTCGACGTTCCCCGAAACCCCTCGCAATATTTCTCCAGCCGCTCAGGAGTCCAATGCGCGATCCTTTGCGACTCAATATATTCCAATTAGGGGTAATTCTAACGAATCTGCTTTTCGACTTCACAGGTGCTAGCCAATGAAGACCTGAAACAACTGAAAAGAGTAGAAGCGGCTCTCCGAGATGTGAAAGGGGTTGCAAAGAGTCGACTGACGGTGCGCTTCGACAGCCAAACTTCGGCCGCGATTTTCGGCGAGAACCACGACAGTCTACAAACTCTAATCCAACTATACCGACCTCGAACCCTACCGCCATGTCTCGTGAAGAATTACATCGCACAAATATGCGCGATCTGCATCGATCTTCACGATCGGAACCTCGTGTTGCAAGGCGCGCTGCAGTTGGGCTCGTTCGCCAAAGAGGCCACCGACCACGTATTTCTCATGAGTAGCTTCGGAGTCCAGTCTGCGTCGGATTGGAACTCGAAAAAAGCGTGTCCTCTGTACATCGCCCCTGAACTCATACGCTCTCTCTCCTCTCTGAGCACGACCAAGTTAACCCCCTGTGATAGTAAGTATGGTCGCCGTTCGATTCATTAGCGCTGATTTCCATATTTAATCACATCGATTCTCGCACGGTATCACACTCGGTCCAGCTCGTATGATCGCATGATCCATGGCGAAGACGACCAAGGTCAACTTCTGTTTGATCGACTTGAAAATCCGCAAATGGGATACAGCGCACAAGAGGGCGAAGCGTGTCGTAAGCTGCTCTGTGACGAGCGCTATGGGGACTGGTATCGGTCCGAGCACGCGCCCAGGTGGAGCTCAATGGTCTCGAGCTGGGACTTCCAGTGATCAGTTGAGAAGACCGACTGCGCGAATCCGGTCCCTGAGATCTAGCTGATTTCGTTGGAAATTCCGATCCGATTCCACGATCGCCATCTTCTGGTGCAGATGATTAATCGACGATGTCTCTTGCGCTTCGCAGTGTTTGCAGCAGATGCCTACAGCGTGGGACTTTGCGGTCTTATGCTAGCTACCGGTCGAAGCCCTTTTACACTGCCGTACACAAAGTCCTTCACGGCGAAAAATCTGCTGGAAGCGAAACTGAGGCACAATCCTGAGATTCCGGGTAAGTTTCCCTGATGATTCCCTCGCCGACGAGGGATTTCTGCTTTTTTCGACGTTCGTGATCTATATTTCCGAGATCATCTCTCTGTGTGTAGGCCACTTCGATTGAATTTCATCGTCGCGCCGCTGCCAGAGGGCATCTCGACAATCTCGTGGCTCTGAATTCATGTTCTCTCTCGTTCCTCGCGCAGATGATCTCGACAATGAACTTCGCTGCCTGCTCGTGCATCTGCTCGAGCGATCTCCAAGAAAACGAATGACTATGCATGAAGCGGTTCAGCATCCAGCGCTTCGTTGCCACACGGATCTGTACCTGGGACTCTCTCCCCAGGGGAAGTCCGCCGCAATTTCGGAAGGCTGCGTCAGACGATGCGGGACCTCAGATCCCTCGGTCCAAACTCAGGTGGACACCTCCTACGCGATGGAAGCAAAGACTTTCACTAGGAGTCCGACTCCCCCTCTTCTGGCGCTCGATCCTTCAGCCGAACCATTTTGTCTTTGGCTCAACGAGCCATTGGGCGATATCGATGACAAGAGCAGCAGCAGCGAAAACAACAATGACGAAAATAATAATGGACGCAGTGACTTGTGATGGAAGCATCGTCTAGATCTCAGTAAACATAAATAACAAACAAAAACATGCAAAAAATAGTTGATATCGAAGATGTGTGGAGAACGTGGCGAAGACGGAGGAGCAGACAGTGGACCCGATTCGGTGAGGGGAACTCAAATCACGGGATTGATTCAACCAGAAGACGCGAAAAGATGAAAAACGAAAAAAAACTCCGGGAAACATCGATCGACAGACAAACGAGGATTTTAGCGGAGGTGGGTGACGAACAGGAGACTTATCGTGGGAATATTTAGGAATGATTCAGCGGTTGCTGTGGAGCTCATCCGAACCCGAGCTTCGATCGCGAGGAGAAAATGCCTCAGTCCGATTGCTCATGGCCTCACTAACGCCATTCGAAAATTTCGCGGATCGGAGGCCCTTCTGCCTGCTCGAGCGCCGACGGCGCGGTGTTGCAACTCGCTAAATAATCTTCGCTAAGTAACCGTTCCTGGGACGAAAAAGCAGGGCACTCTATGGGAGAGATGCATCTTCCGATCGTTTAATGATCCTTCTATCAGCGACCCTAAATTGGGATTATTGTGGAAATCACTCCATTCGACCCCGGCTACGTGTCTCCATCTATCGGGAGGCTGATCGACTCATTGGGCAATGGAGGTTCCAATACGTATATCTCGTGATTGCTCGATCGATTGGTCACTCAGCTCTCCGAGGGGGCGACGGATCCCCCTACCAAGCTCAAGGGGGTCTATTCAGAGTCTTTCTTATTCGGGTCTCGCTTGAGCCCCGACGTCTGGTGGGCGAGTGGTTCCACGAAATTAGAGAATATTCGGAGGACGGTCTCGGCCGGTGAGCTCGTCCATCAGCTGTTGGCCCGAACTTGAATAACATTGAGTTCGTCCGCCAACCCAGGGGTTGATCGCGACGCTCCCAATCGGGATCTGTCTCGCATCTCTCATCTCGCATTTAGCGTGATTTCTGGATCATTAGGGCTGCGGCCGACTCGTTGATTGATCGATCGATTAATCGATGATTCGCGATCTACCCAATAATAATCGATCGTCTCCTATGGGGCCGTCTTGCCGACCGATGACTAGGGCGACAAGCTTGACACAATCTGAACACAGCTTCTTTAGGCTGAAATTCACAGACAAAGAACGAACGTCCTATCGCCCGCACAACAGTTGTTGTTGTTGTTTGAAACGATGGTGAATTTGAATCATGATGATGGAGATCAAGACAGTGAGGATGATGGTAATTAGCGCCGAGGCGAAGAGACCATGTTGATGATGAGGTTGCTGATGACGACGACGACGACGTCGGCGGCGGTGTCGGAGAGGAGCCTGCGCGAAAGCATCTCAGCGAAAGTTACTATTGTCACCTGCTCAAAGTTTGCAGGCATTGGTCGAGCTGGAACCGGGGTAGGAACGAAACAGGGAAGATTCCCGTGTCCTCGACGCCGCCACTCGTCGACTGATTCGTCGATGCGACTGTTGACTCGCTTCATGAACTTAAACCCACACTTCAAAACTTATCTAAGGCCTTCCGCCAGAACTCCGCTCGCAGTGATGCCGACGGGAGCAAGGAGCCTCGGCAGCGTGATCGAGAACACCTCAGATTCTGAAGCTGATCGGAGCCGCGCCTCGATGTGGATGAGGAGAAAAAAAAGATGAGAGACTGCCCACATTTCGATCGATCCGGGATCTTCGTATGATCCGACGGATGATCCCGTGCGCTGCTGGGTCTCGCTGAAGGCTCAGGTGTTCGGCTCGTTTTCAAGTCAGTTTTACTCTAAATGATGATATGAATACATATTCGTTCGATATTTACATATATTTTTTTTTCTGCCGAGTTTCCCGCGATTATCGCTCTCGCCTCCCCCATATTTCGAGGGAGCACTTGGCTTCGTGCAGAGTGCTCCCCGCCATTTCTCTAGCGCTCGGACGCTTCGCGAGGGATATCGCAGCAACTTAACGGAGGAATCCGACGGTTTCTGTCGCTAGTGAAGGCTCCACCTTCGCGTCGCCTGAATCGTCGGAGATTGGATTCCTAATGCTGTCAGGAAGTCCGACCGTTCCTCGAGTTGCTCCGATTAAAAGAAGAAAACCAAAACTTGCACTAGATCCGATCAATCCTCACGACCACATAACCTCAATCGAAGGCGGATGAAACACGACGAAGATGAGAGCGCCCTCATCTTGGCAACGACATCGACGCCGCGTTGGATTCCGCAGATAACAATAAGAGGGATTGAAGATTTACGAGATTATGAGAACACGACAAGAGATATCGGGCGTTGACAACAAGCAGGGATCTGTCTAATTCTACAACATACAGCAACGTTGACTAGAAGAGCAAGACTCACAAGAACGGACGATGGTGACCTTGGCGAGTACCTCGACGACAGACATGTGCCCAGGACGATTTCGGTCCCTCTACAGCCACGATCACGAACAGTTCCCCTAACTCAGTGTTCACTTAGAGAGCAGACATTCAATCTCTCAACTATTGTACCGAGGCCACAACGGGGAATACTCACAAATCAGTTTGCGTGCAGCAGGCGGAAAATTGTCCGTTCAGCTCGTGTGCTTCCGGTCTCGACAACCGGACAAATCCCTGTCCTTTCAAAAACTGTTAATTGTTTCAATCGCCCGAAAACACAAAGCTCCATGCCACGTCCGCCTGACGGTTTTCCGCACGAGATCTGAGGCGATCTGAGCGAGAACTTCACACCACGAAGTCTTTCCAATCATCTCCAAGCTCTAGAAGGTGTCCAGTCGACATCTATTGTCTTCTAGCTTCGTTCGAAGGAAAAAATCTGGAGTTTTCTTCTCTCCGATATTTCCTCGAGTACTGTACATACATAGCGTCATCTCCTCCTTCTCGACTCGCGATCTTAGTGCTCCTGAGAAGCACGGATCGATCACATGAGAATCGGCTGGTAGACTTGGAGAAAGAGAATCATAACCCACAAATGGCGAATGCCATCTCGTGCATGTGTCGTGAACCAAAAACACCAACCATCGGAACAAGCTCACATCTCCAAACAGAGACTCTGCGCTCGTGTTGGCAGATCGGCGTCGGACCAGGCTTCGTAGCGGACGATCGTAGACCTTCATCTGGGCTTCTGCGCGAGGAGTGTCTTAGGCATCAACAAACGATTCCATACAAAAAACGGAGTTTGAGACCCAAGAACTGCGAACTGAGGATGGTGTCGCATGGGAGAAGTCTGAGGAACATCGGAATGGTCGACTCCCGCAAACTCCGACGGCGAGACCTCGAGATTGCGATCTCGAGGGTTGCGATGATGTGATACCCTTCCGCATCTTCTCCGCTTTTGGGGATATTTCGGCGAAGGCCACCCCCGTAGAGAGCCGGCGCAAGGCCGAGCCTCGTTTATCTTCCCTCGAGCAGTAAGTGAGTCAGTCAGACAGACAGATAGAGAATCGATCTGTCTCTCAATTACGAGAATAATCGACCTATTAGTTGTCAATCAATCATCAATGATGAAAACGTTCAGAGCGGAAATACCCCCCTTGTGATTTTCTTTGATCTTCCCCTTTTTTGGCTCTTACATACCGTGACTCCAAATGGAATTCGAGAGATGATTGACGGAAGCGAATAGGATGAACAAGACCGGTAATGATCATGATCAATGGCGTTGATTATATAAGGATGACGAAGAAGACGATGATTGATATCGATCGTAGGCGAATGGAGGATAGATATAAGTGAAAACACATGAGAAAAAAGGGATGCTGACGGTTATCAATCGCTAGCTCCTCGCTCGTTCGCTAGAATGCTGGCAACTGATTGACTAAGGTAAACATAATTACGAGGGTGATGATGATGATGAAAGAACCACGATGAAGAAGAATGTGACTTTGTGTAAATAATCAGATGCGATGATGAAGGCTTAGGTTGCGAGAATGGTGGTGACCGTGTCGATCGAAACCAATGGAGCGAGAAAACAAAACGAGTTGAACGAAGACTAAGCCTCGTTCCCAATGATATCATGTACTGCAGATCAGAGGAGATGATGGAGTACAAATGGATGAACTATTAATAAACGTTATTACGCTAAAACTCCAAGAGCCAGCTCATCATTCCCGCACTACGAACGTGCCTCTGGTAGTCTCTCCTCTGGCGATTCCACGAGGCTCTCATCCGGCGCGTAACCAAGATTTGTTCTCGCAGAGGGGGAAGGCAGGGCCATTGTCTTGGTGGGGGCCAACCACCGATCATGATGTGCCTCATCATGAAGACCAATGGGCCGGAAAAAGATCTTGGGGGGGGCTCGCCACTGGCTTTCATGCCTCATGCCGAAGGAGAAGCTCGGAGGACGTTAGAAACCGGAGGGTTTCGATCGCAGACGCTCTCCGATAGGCCCCGTTGTCGGCTCTCACGTTGGGCTTCGAAACACTCAGTCGATGACCTGTGTCGATTCTGCGGCGGAGAAGCCACCGAGCCTGGGGCTCATGGTTTTTTAGCGGTCAGCTGGTGGTCGCGACACGGCCACGAGACTGCGTCTGCGGTGAGCACGCGGCCGCAACGAATCATCTCCGAGGCTGAAGCGATCGAATGTGCTTCTACGGATAGGATAGGATTATAACACAGCCCGACAAAAAAATAAACTTGTCGCGTTACAACGAAAGTGATAGCTATTACGGGGTAAACCGGGGGCGCTGAAACCGAATTTCTTATCTGATTTTTCCTATCAAGTTCATTTCCTGAAATTTCAATTTATCGTTTTTCCGTCTATAAAATTCTCTAACTCCGCTCCTGAGTGGACTAGATCGATGAAACTTCGGTGGCGGATGGAGCTCGGTTAGAGCTATACCTGGCCGATTCTGGTGCGATTCGTGACATTCGTAACATCCACGTTCGATTTCGCTTTGGGTCGATCAATCCGCATCAAATCGAGCCGTCAGCGATTGTCTAGAATGTGGTCGACCAGAGGCTTCCCTCAGGATGTTCCGGCAATAGTCTGCCACCATGGACTCATCCCACCTCTCTTGATATCGCTCCTCCCTGGTGCTGATGTCCTGATGGAACCCTTCGCCTTG